GTGTGAACACTACAGAGAACCAACGCAAATGTGAGAAGTTCCCCTTGAAAGGTTTGTAGATCAAAGACGGTACAAATGTAGCTACTCCATAGGGTGTTCATGAATGTTTCTGGAATTGATTATTATCAATAATATTATTTAATTGCTCTGTATAATTTTAAAAAATATATATTTATCAGGTTAAGAAACTTAGCAACATGAACTTTATGATAAGAAATAAATGCATTTTAATCTCCCGCGGGCCAAATACAGTGACATGGCGGACCGCATTTAGCCCGCGGGCCTTGAATTTGACACGTGCTGTAAAGCCTGACACGTAAGAAACCTTTTTTTAAAAAGATATGTTGATTAACCATACGAAAAACGAAACAAACGAAAAAAAAAAAATTTTTTGTTTGTGAGCATTTGACACCTTCAGCATTTTTTTGGCAACTTTTTGCTGAAAAATTTAGAAATAAAAACGAGTTTTGCCTGTAACATTTTGAAAACAGAGTTTTCCAGTCTGAATGTTGTGTAGCAAATATGATACAAATGGTTTCGCGGGGGTTGACAAGGTCAAAGTTCAGGGTTTTCTGTCTTCCGTTTGGAAGGTGAGACATTTTAGTGTTGATTTGATTCGATTTTTTAATAAGTGATTCCTTTATCACTGTATTTCTCGATTGTTGTGCAATCGTTCACGATACACGGAAGCAGGAATTAACTAAAACCCGAAGAACGACAGCAAAAAAAAAAAAAAAAAGTGAGGCACTGAGGTTTCGTTATCGTCTGGAACTTTGAAACCAAGAGAATCACGCGTGTCTGGATTTTTAAATTGCTAACATTGAAAGCGCAGAAAAAGATCATATCATCTCTTATCTCTGTGGCAACCATCGTTGCAGTTTCAGATGCCTGCGTGCAGTACACCACAAGTGCACTTCAACATAAAAAAAAAAACATTGGACAGTGGACACCATTGCGACGCTTTTACTTCATGGGAAATTAAAAAAAAAGCATTTATTATGCTAAAATTTCAAAAAAAAAATTGGAAAAATGTCTCTGACTTTAGCTCTACATTCCAGCTGGTAGTGATGTGAGTAATGAGCCAAGAAACATTTAGCTACCTGACCTGCTGCATCCTGTCAAACTGCACCAAATGATCCCTCACCTAGATTAGGTTTGATGGTGCTTTGATGAGATGGTGCTGTGAAAACACAGCACCATCTCATCTGCCAGCAAAATCACTGATCTGATCTGAGCTGTTTTAGCACATTTTTCTTTCATCTTTGATCAATAGAAAACTTCATCTGGAATTATTTTTAAAACATGTGAAAAAAAACCATGCGGATAAATAAAATGTCATAGATTCGTTTTTTGTTTTTTTTATAGATTCAATGAACTTTAAAAACTGCATTGGCTTGCAAATCATGGACTCATATATATATATATATATATATACATATATATATATTTCTTTTTTTATGGTACATGACAATTTTCAGCCTATACTAATTTTCAGGGGGCCACATTAGCAATACAGTTTCCCAAACCCCGGTCCGCGGACCATTACCAGTCCATAGGTCATTTGATACCGGGCCGCAGTGGGACACAGTGAAAAAAAAGTGTACTTCATTTTGACTAATCTACTTCATTCAAAGAAAGTCCAGTCATATCCATTTACTTTCTTTATGTAAAGATAATCTGGCAGTATTTTAAAATGATAGGTCATTCAGACTGATACTAACAGAATACAGTCAAAAAGACGTTTTATTTTGAAAATCTAATGATCCTTCAATGCTCAGTACCTTGGTACCGATCTGTAGTTGAGTTTGACACACATGCTCTAGTCAAACCCTGTTTGTCTGTTTTGCCTGATATCTACAACACTGCACCTCAAACCCAAAGAAGCTCGGTCGGCGCGGTGTTTCTCTGTTGATCATCTGAGTAACAGGACACACATCTTGCACCTTCACACACAACAAAGCCGCTCTGAGCAATGTAGGTCAAGGAAACGCTGACAAAGGTTCTGCTATTATTCAGCACAACAACCTGACAAACATGCCCCATGCAACATTTGAGTAAGGAGTCTATTAACTGGAGCAGAGGGCCGCAGCGACGGTACAGACGAGTCAAGCAGGAAGAACAGGTGGAATTTTTTTTTTTTTTTTTTTTTTTAATCCTCTTGAAAAAATAATATGAATTTGCGCAGAGCATAAAGTGTTTAATGTAGATGTAACAACAAAAATCAGAGTTGAAGATTCCTGGCGATTGTAATTATCAATAATACAGCCAAGTAACAACAAAAATCAGAGTTGAAGATTACAGCGGTTAGCCAATGGCAACAAGGCCCGACTGCGTTTGTAAAATTCATGGGTTTTCCACTCCACGTGCTACAATGAGAAAATTTATAGTAAAAGAGCCGAAACCCACAGAACCAGCACCCACATGTTTACTCACTGACTGAGTTTCCCCCGAAACCAACCCTGTTTGACCTAAAATCCATTTTCAAAAATACCTCAGTGACGTCAAATTGAAATTGTGCTAGCGTCGTTAGCACGACCGCTATTTCAGTGAGTTCACCATTTAAATGTAAACTACATTAGATGTACATTTACAGAAACTGCGACCTAATAGCATGGAACATTGTTTATATTTTTTATTCTATATTATTTTTCATATTCATTCAAATTCCAGGCAGTTTGGGTAGAGTAATATAGAGATTGTACAAAGTACAACGTTTTACAACAGTGGACAATTAATATTTAATATATTTAATATAAAAAAACTGGGCCATAACAAAATATATTAAATTAATTTAAAAGGTAAATACTATTATTATTTGATATTATCCATTTTAAGGACTCTATATATAGAAGTCCGCCAGCGATGTTCGAGTGCATATAAAACAACAGCGATTAGGAGTGGACGGAAGTGGGCGTTTTTCAAAATAAAACACCACGCGGACGCGTGTAAATTTTAAAAATTCAAAATAAAACGTCACAAATCGGTGACGTCATTAATAGAATTTAATAGGTGATAACATTGAATAAATTCCTATGTAAAGTAACTGGTTTTATTATTTTTTATTTTCTATTTTTAAAAGAGTATCTCTCTAACTTATTTGACAACCACATTCAAAATCTAGCATTTTGCAAATTAAATATGACTTGAGAGATAAAAAAATAGTTTTTAACATTAGCATACATGTAATAAATACATTTAAAATGATTGAGTTTAATATTAAAACATACAGTTGAAATAAAATGAAAGTTTCTCTGACATTCCTCAACTTTTAACATCTCAACCATTTTTATTGAAATTGAGTTTAATACTGAAAATGTTTAATTTAACATTTTCACTCTTGATCTCAGAGCAAAATTAATCGTTTTTTTTTTCACTCTTGATCTCAGAGCAAAATTAATCTTTTTTAAAAAATCTTTATAAACCATATAACCCAAATGAACATCTAACCAAACAAAAAAAAAAAAAAAAAAAACGAATGTGCCCTATGAGTCTGACACACAAGTATGAGTCATCCGTGGGTGTGGAGACTGACGCTGGATGGTGGTGGTGACCACACGATGTCTGAATGACAGACATCGGGGATAAGATAAGAGCCGCAGCTTCGTTACGTTATCAGATCCTGGTAACTGTACCATGTGGGTGCAATCTAACATTACACCAACTGTAAATCTGCACTAGTTTCAATTCAGACAACTCAAGTGTGGCGGTCCAACAGTGTGGGACAGTCTCCCACACGTCAGCTCTGGACCTGTTCTAGTGAACAACGTGGTTTATTCACCTGACTCTTCCATTCCCGGCAGTCTCATTTCTGAGGTTGGTTAGTTCGCCATAACATTTACCAACAGTGAGCTAGTTACCATGTAATTTGGAGGGATTTATAAATAACTTGAAAGTTCAGTGACGTGTGTTAGTGTTGGGCAGGAAGTGAGGAAAGAAGACAATATTGTGAGTCTAAATTAAGAGGAAATAGGACAGATCTGCAGAGGGCTGCTGTGATTGCACAGGAATAAAGTGGATGAGCAGCGCAAACTGTTAAGCCCAAGCATGGGCAAACTACGGCTCGGGGACCAGATGTGGCCCATTTGGCTTTTTAATCCAGCCTCCTTAACTTTACATTCAAAATTATGTTATTCATTTCTACTATCATTAAACTTCTGACATTTTCCTTGCAATGACCACATTTCCCCAATAGATGGCGTAGACAATGATAAAGCATTTTAGCCTTTAGGCATGACTTTTACATGTCATTTGTCTCAGTTCAGTGTTTCCCAAACTTTTTTTTCGGGAACCCATATTTTAAAAGTCACAACTCTTCACGACCCAATTCGTAAATTTGAATTCGTAAACTCATGGGAAACATGATGCGAGACGACCCAAAAAATATCTCTTGCGAGACACCTGAGGGTCGTGACCCAGTCTTTGGGAAACAATGTTTTAGTTCATACAAACGTTCCATCTATCCCCCCCGGTCCAATTTGAGGACCCGCGAGTCGAAAGTTTGCCCACGCCTGGCCTAGCCTAACGAGACACAATAAGAAAATTAATAAATTACGAAAAACCGAAAAGGTCGTCTCTTGAGAAGAGAGGAATGAACGATGTGTGCGACTTCTCAAAAAAAAACAACAATTCTTGTATCAAACTGGTCAACGAAAAAAAAAAAAAAAATCTTGTATCAAACTGGTCAACGTAGATGGAAAAAAAAAAAAAAAAGATGTGGACCACAGAGGACAGACGATGATGAGATTTTCCTTGAAAGTGACCAAGATGGATTGCATTAGAATGGAGCAGATCAGAAGTTTGGAAATAGAGTGGAGCAGATCAGACAGTTTGGATGAAGAAGAACAGAACTCCTAGAACATATATTTGACAAATGAAACAGAAAACCAAACAGACAGGTCAAAGATGAGAGCCTCCACAAATCATATCTCCATCCGCAGCGTGAGATGGAGGCAGCAAAAACTGTAAGAAAATCAGTGTCCAGTAACGTGAAACTCTTCGAGTCTGCTCCAATGAAACACATTTTATTTTCAACAACTACAGTTCAACAATTACAAAAAGGTTTAATATATATACAAATGCAGACGGCAGCGTTGACAAACTGCTCCTCTTTTCCGGACGAATCTGTGAAATAAGTATAAACACGTATTACGGTGCATTTGAGTCCATCATGATAGTAAGAATAAACAGTTGTCAAGTCGTTGCTTGTATCCAACAGTGGAAGGACCTGCAGGAGAACAGGAAGTGAGAAAAAAACAAATGTACACTTTAATATAGATCTCTGTACGTGTGAAGTTCGTGTGTTTGGTTTCGGAGACCGCGGCCCTTTTCTTCCTCCCTACTCAGATGAGGAAGATGATGTCATCCGCCACCATGACTTGGTTGTCGTCCTGCATGCGAGCCAACGCAGCGCGCACCTCCGCCTCGGAGAAGCGCTTCTCCCTCCCTTTGTTGACGCCGTCCATGAGCGCCGCCATCTTCACGGACTGGGCGTGAGCCGACTGGAACACGGCGAACAGGGACGACTTGAACTCCTTCAACCTGCGGGGAAAGAAAAGCTCAAGGTTAATGACATTTAAAAGAAAAAAGAAAAAAAAAAAAATCAATGTCATGACCTCAGAGGTGAAAAGGTCACTGATCATTTCTCAATCCTATATAATATTACGTACCTGTCTGCAGAGAGCTCAGCGTCTCCAGACTGTGATGATGTGTCCATGGGCTCCTCCTCCTCTTGTGACACCTTGGCTGGTTTAGGAGTTCCAGCCTGAACTGAATTTTTTTTTTTTTTTCATGTATGGTGTTAATTTTAAACATCTCTAATTATATAATTTGTAAACAAACAAAAAAAAACTGCGCAGTACTTACTGTCAGGAACATCTTGGTTTTCACTGAAGTCATATGGGCTGTATGGTTCGCCGCCCTGAGAGCCACGGCTCCCTCTGCAGTAGATCACAGATATTACAACATTAAGAAAAATACAACATAAAAAAAAAAAAGGGACAAACAAATGTGAAAAGCAGCAGCTGTGAAGAGTGGCTTCGTCGTTCACCTCTTCTTCGTGGCTCTCTGCGAGCGCTGCGTGGACACCTCCTCGTCCTCCTCCGATTCAGAGTCGCGCTGCTTTCGCGAACGCTTTTTCTCCTTTTCCAGTACCTGAGCAGAAAAAGGCCCAAACAAAAGGGAAGGAGGATAATCAGAGACACAGTGGCGACCTCTGCTGGTGCGTCACAAACGCCGCGAACTGACATTCGGCGCCAACCTTTTTAAAGTAGGCGAACTGAACGAGCTCCACTGCCACTTCGGAGTCCTGCATCTCCACGACTTTGCTCATGCGGGACTTGGCGTGAGCGGTGGACAAGCGGATCATAGTCTCCAGAGTTCGAGCCGTTACGGGCGAAGTCTAAAGAAGGAGAAGAGGCTGACGTTAGAACATAAGGAAGCAAAAAGTGGCAAAGATGTTGACATACAGAAAAATGGAACATTTCAGAGCAAATGTGACCATGGCTGTCAATCAAGACGCTCCATCTCGGATGTTTTTACATTTTTTATATTTTATACTAATAAAATTGAAAGCATATAGGTGTTTAAGATGGTGTTTTTAAACACAATTTAAAAAAAAAAAATTTAAAAATTATTTTATTAGTATTTTTTTTTTTTTTTTTTTTCCCCAATTACTAAAAATTTCCAATTGTGAATCCCAGGCAA